CGTCCTTCAAATCCTACAGCTATCTGATCCGAGGGCACCCTCTACTTCTTTTGCTATCCGGCTTCTCATGCAGCATCCTCTTTGGCATTCTTTCCACATGATCTAACCATCTGATTTTGGCTCTTTTTATCAATGCCACAATATCAGGTTCACCATAAAGTTCCCGTAGTTCCTTATTCTTTCTTCTTCTCCAAATTCCATTTACAAAGATTCCACCCCATATTCTTTTTAATATTTTTCTCTCCCAGCGTTTGAGCGTGCGTTCTGAGTTTCTGGTTAAGGTCCAAGCCTCACACCCACACATAACTACTGGCCTTACTTTTGTTTTGTAGATGAGGATTTTGATTTGAGAGTGATCTGAATTGCAAGTCTCTTTGCAGTGAGAAATAACATCTATTTCCTGCTGCTGTTCTGGCCTTTGTGTCATTCTCTATTTTATTATTGCATGTGACCAGGCATCCAAGGCACTTGAACTGGTCAACAGACCTAAAGATGTGATATTTAATAACTATTTCCATATTCACTTCCTTTTCCATATTTAAACTTTTCATGTACACCGTCTTATTTCCATTAACTCTTAAGGCCCAATTTAGCCGCTGCTTCTTTGAATTCCTGTAAAGTTCCTGATAATGCTGCTTGGGTTCTAGAGATAATGGCAACATCATCGGCATATGACCGTACCCATCACACCCAGTACTCTGATTCTTGACTTGATCTCTGCATTATTGACTCTTCTGATAAACTCCTCGCCACATCACAATATCCGGTTCCTTTTTTGTCAGCTCATGATCTCATACAGGTCTCCTATACCTTCCTGTTCCGCTGTTCTCTCACCGATCTATATCTTTTAGATACCTTAATTTCCTATCGTTCAAAACTCTGACGCCTGATTTTGATACAACTAAATGGGACTCCATATACTCCTCTAACTCCGTTGATTTTATGGTAAAAACTTTAACCAATCATCTACACATTATCCTGGACCGTCATGCTCCTCTCTTAAAGTTAGGACTCCTCTTAAGTATCCCCCAGCCCCTTGGTTTGCGCCAGGGATAAAAGATTGTACTAAACGAAGAGATGCGGCTAGACGAAGGCACTACTTTCCGAAGACTATACAAACTTCAAGCTGCTTCGAAACAGTACGCAATCCTTGATACGCCGTACCAAATCTCATTAATTTCAACAATCCTTATCCAGCACTTCAAACTCTAAAGCCATGTGGGCAATCCTCTGTAAATTATCCTTAGGCAAACCCAGACTACCTCTATTTCAGCTGACGTACTCAACACTTATTTTGTCTCCTGTTCCTCCTATCCCTCTTTCCAAGCACCAGTCCCACCCCTCATTTATCCCTCCTTTAATCACAATCCTTTTTTTTCTCATATTACCCCTGAGGTTCCTCTTTATCTCCCACCCTCTTTTCCATCTATATCAATCACCTCCCTTCCACTATCATGCACTGTCAATACAACCTATATGCCAACGACTTCCAACTTTACCTTTCCGTCAACCTGGCTGATTCCTCTAATGCCATCCTGAAACTGCAACAAGACATCAATAGAATATGCACATGGGCAAACCTTAATAAGCTCACATTAAATACGGAGAAAACAAAAGCTATCCTGATTGGATCCCTCTCTCCTAAAATCCATTTCAGTACCATCTCCTTCCATACTACGGTTAAAATACTTGGTGTTACCCTCGATCAAACCCTCTCCTGGAAACCACGCATCTACCAAATTTCCCACCGTACTATTTCCACCCTGAACCAGTTTAACCATCTACGTTATCTTCTTTCATTCAAAACCTTTTTGAATTTTTTTGGTTTCATCTCTTGTTTCACCCCACTTCGACTATGACTGTGTGGTGTATGGTGGACTCTCAGGAGAACTCAAAGCTAAACTTAAACGTCTAATGAATTGCTCAATACCCTTTTTCTTCGGGATCTCAAGGGATATACATGTCACCCAGTTTTACACTGAGTTGAAGTAGCTTTATCTATCCTACCGCCGTCAGTATTTCCTTGCTACCTTCCTATACCAGGCTATTAGAACTCGGTGGCCCTCCCATATTCTACAGGTCCTACAATTCAAATGCTCCTTTCTCTCCGTCCCACCAAATCTCGTACATCCGACCTCTATCCTCCTCCTCACCGAACTGCTGCGTTTGACAAATCCTTTTTAATTCAAGCTGTCTCCCTTTCTAATTCTATCGCTTCTGATATTCAACACGCAAAGTCAGCATCCTCTATCATATAGAAAGAATGAGAAGATAAACATTTTCAAATTATAGAAAAACTCTAAGTTTATTGAAATATGTTTAGAAAAAATCAAATAATATATAAAAAAATATTGTCCTTTGATTTTGTTATTTATTTTATATAAGTGATTCATAGGTCTCATTCAACTTGTACAACTTTAATTCTATCTACCAAACCATCATAGATAATAGTTTGTTGCAATAATTACTATTTAAATTGAAATAACAATGTAAACTAGTCAAATATTAGTTTCTTCATGAACCATTATGGCTGCCACTTCTGTATGACCACACAGTCTTATAAAGTTACTGTACTCAAAAGGCGATCCAACTGCTATATGTAACCGTTATAGCTTAAAGCTTGAACTAAAGTGAAGAAGTGTTTATTTTGGTTTAAAAGTGGTACTAAATTATTTTAATGTGTAAATTATATATATGAGGGTATTATTGTATACGGTACTATCATTCTATAGTAATGATGAATTGATAAATTAATTAAATGTATAATTAATATAGCATAGTTAATTATATGCATAGAGATATTTTAAGGTGGTGATAAATAAACATAATGTCATAATAAAGATGCCAACAGAATATCTAACTGTTATCTGTAATTGTTATAATTCAAAGCTTAAACTGAATTGAAGAGGTGTTAGTGCAAAAGGTTGTATGTAAAAATTGAGTTTTTTAAAAGAAGAGCATAAAAACAGATTATTTCTTTATGATTTACTGGTATCATTTCACACTTTATTTCCCTCTGCTATTTTCCTACTTAGCAGTGTAAAAAATGTAAATTGTAGAGCAAAGAGAATAAACATGTAAAAAAGTTAAATACGACCTATTGCAGTAAAAATAGCGATATATTTTATAATTCTCAATTCATTACACTGAATTGCAAAACCTGCTTCAATGAGGCGACCTCAAGTTTTTGTGGTATCATTTTGTTTTAGCAGCAGTGACTCTACTCTCCTGCCCATCTGTCAATAACCAACTTTTCTTTACAAAAGTATAGGCAGGTACACTGATTTAAATACATGGAGCTTGACATTCTTAGTTACTTCTCACTTTCCTACAAGTGTTGTAAATAAGGTAGAAGACTGCATTTTCCTTGCTAATTCTGTTAGATATTTCCATCCCTTCAAAAGTTTCTCATACCATTCCATCACTGCCTGCAATAACTTTTCAACCGAATCAGTCTAAAGAACAACATTGTCGGCATATAGGAGAAGCTGAATCACCACCGGACGAAGGTCTTCTCCCCAGGAACATCCTCTCTGTTCTTCTTTTACAGATGGACTCCATTTCATTTATATAAATTAGAAATAACAATGGGTTTAAACTATCCTAGTTTGACCCCCCTTGCTAAGTTAAAGTGACTGGATTCCAACCCGTTCAGCCGAACCATTCCCTTTGGGTGTTGGTAAGTGGATTGAATGGCCTCCACTAAGTTCCTTGGGATGTTCTTAGCTTCTTAACTTTATCCTCCATGACAAACTTCCCACGCTCATTCTTCATATTTCTTATAGCTTTGTTTTGTGTTCTGTTAAAGCTTTAGATTTCCGCCAGAATTGCTTAATATTTACTGTATGATCTTGGTTCCGTTTTTCTCCGAATCCCTTCTATAATGTTTGTTTTGCTCGTCTCACAGCTTCCTTTGTCCTGTTTCCTACCACCACATATATCATGAATTGCTTCATAAGATACATCTTTGGGATTCCCAGGCTTTCTCATGTTTCCTGCTGGTATACCGAGTTGAAGTGGCTTTATCCTACTCTCTGGCGGAAATTTCTTCTTGGTGTTTTCCTTTTCAAAGTCCTCAGAACCAAAAACCCTGCCTATATCCTAGAACTCCTTACTTTACACTCCTCTATCCACTAACATATGGACTAATATATTCCCTCCCATAAAACTACTTCCTTCAGTAAATCCTTCATCATTTGTGCTACCTCCTTTTAGAACGACAAATTTCTTTAAACAACTCCTATTCTACCACCTACTTCATATTCAAACTTCTGCAAACATGTAATAAAGTCAATAAAAAAGACGTCTTCCTGTATAATTCCTTATTTTTTTTCTCTCTGCGCAACCGGTTTTGGTCTTTGATCAGACCTTCATCAGGCTAAATAATAAAATTAACAACAATAATTTTTTTTTTTTTATAAAATAATCAAATAATAATAAAACTTAATTCAAAAAATAACAATTTAAAACCCAATCTTAATAAAAAACGGTTATCACCTAACTTATGGTGGTCCTCCATTTCTGCTTGTCAAATGAGGACTAAAAATAAAAATAAAACTATTGACCAGATGGGCTAGCTCTACCCTCACATCATGTTCTCATTACCTGTCAGTAATTTTATGGTGGTAGAATCCTTAAGTTGAGTACTTTGCTCATTCAGGCATAGGAATCCATCTGGAAGCCTCTACATAACAATGAAAGCCTCAATAGAAAACAAAAGACCACGCGGAAGGCCAAAAATCAGATGGATAGATAGTAATGTATAGTTTGATGTAACTATCAGATACTATTGTTTTTCCATATTCGACCCTTTTCTTTAAATCCCTGATGAAGACTTACTACATTGTGAATTGAATAAATAATTAGCAATTATTTGATGTTTTTTTCTGACCGACTCCAATCTGACTATCTCCTTGTCCTTGATTTATCATACAGTCAACCATCTACACATATAATTTAAATTATCAATGTTATATAAAAAAAGGAAAATATAATCTTACAACAGCTTGGAGGATCGAGGACATACAGCAACTATTCCCAGTTGCATCAGCAATGTGTTTTATCAAAACTGTTTTTTGAGACAACTCGGGGGCTGCCTCTTCTACTTGTTCATCCTGAAAAGTATCAGATACAATTAACATGATTATATAAACTATTAAAAATAAAGGTTTGTGGTGTACTTATATACAATAATGAAATATTAGATTAAATTCTACTTTATACCAATTCTAGGTAAAATTTGTCAGTATAAAAGAAAATTTCACTAAAAATTATATGAACCATAGAAAAATAAAAATAAAAAAAGATATTAAATTGCAGCAATACTTACATTTTCATTTATAGTGGTATATGGTTTACATTCCACAACAGCATTCTGAATTTTAGTAACACAATTTTCTCTTATTTCAGGTTTCTGATAATTACTTGTTGAAGGTACAGGTTCTAAACTGTCAGGATTAATTCCATCAACCCAAGATGATGTGGATGGATATTTATCATCAAAATTAATTGGAGTTGTGGCAACATCTTCATAAGTGTCATCAACAACTTCATTTACATTATCAAATTTTGCTATTTCAGCATTTCCACAACTATAGGAGCCATCAGATGATTCCTGACCATTAGACTGACAAGGATCAAAATCCATTTCCAAATAATCCATTTCTGGAGAAGAACAGTCAGCACTTTTATTTGCATCATTGCCATTCCTATTTTCATTATCACCTTTGTACATATAAACACAGCTGTCGTCACTACTTGTCGATTCAGCAACTGAAGGGACTCGCTCCCTTGGAATATGATGAAATAAACCTGTATGAGGAGCCATACCAGTTGATTTTAAGTTATCTTCATACAACTGTCTAGTAGACAAATTCCATTTTGGCATGTCTACTATTCCACCATGAGATGTGCTTGGTTGTAAGTTATCATCATTATCTTTACATTTTTCATTAATTTCAGCTGTTCCATTGCTCAAACCATTCATGATACCTTTTAAAAAGGAATAATATATAAATAAAATTATAATTATTACAAATAAACTTAATTGTAAAGCTTATGTAACTATTCATTTTCAGTAGGATTAGTTTTAATCTTTATTACTATTGAGAAAATGTGTTAATATCTGAGGATATAAACACGTTTTAAGTGTTCTTTATCTTTATAATTAAGCCTAAATGATATTAAACTAGCCAAGCAAGCTTATTCCCCAAAACATAGATCATCATTGTCTATCACTTAAATTAGTGGTTCCCAATCTGTAGAGTTTTGAGGATCAGGAAGTGAAGGATTGAGCCAGGTGTGGACCATCTACACCACTGAAATAAAGGATGTACCATAAGTAAAGGGGTGATAGCAAATCTCAAAAGTTACAATTCATTTAAGTTTTGTGTTTTTTAAGTGTCATGTTTTTTGTTGAATAGGCAGCGATAACTAAAAAATATATATAATTGAGGTAATATTTAATTGGTAATTGTTTCATAGTAAACTAGGCAGAATTTCCTTCGAAGTAGCTAACAACATTAAGTTTTGTTTTTCATGAAAACATGTATTATTCAGAATATTCTTTATTACCCTCAACGTGCACTACAGATACCCACCCCACTTTCAGAAAAACTCCATTGTTTAATAAGCTCTAAGTCCATATTAATCAAGTTAAGGTTTGTCACCAACTAAGTTTAGATTCACCCCTAGTTTTGTAAAAAAAAAAAATGATGTGATTTGATATTCTTCCACCTAAAAGTACCAGCGTTTTTAGCAAAAATAACTACAATAAATTATTACAATGCTTTAAATTCTTGTTTTATTGTGACCTGGGATGTATTATAACTAATTAATTACAAAAATTCACTTTTTATTAAAAAAAAAAAATTAAAAATAGTTTTTTTTTTTTAGAAATTTATTACCTAAAATAAACATGAACTAGTGCTTTTTTAGATAGATCTCTTTTAAGGGAAATGATCCTTACTATATAAAGTGACTAACTATATGCTTCTTAGCAGTCTGGCATCTGCTGCCAATCAGTGAGCATCTCCTCTATGTCTATTTGATATCTTAATCTATAGTGTACTCACAAATTACATTTTATGAGTAATATATTTATTAAATTATTAAACATACTTAGTGGCATGTTTACAACATTTGTGGATAATACTGCGTTAGATAGTCTATTATCGTAGCTAAGCAGGAGAATAGGCATTAGAACGAGTAGTGATAAGAGACTAAATCTCTGATTCCATCACCTTTAGTCCAATTCCACATCTCGCTATGGCGCTGTGCCCAATATGGAAATTAGAATTAAATAGGGAAGAAAAAACTGCCCTAGCATGCTTCAATAGCAAAAATATATTCCATAGTAAATGTGCTAATGCTACAGATATTGAGACATTAAAAAAAACAAGTAAAAACAACAAAGCAGTACGGAAGAAAACTTTGCATCAATTCTTGCCGAGCTAGACAAGATTACAGAAGAAATAAAAGATCTCAAGAGCACTGTTGACAAACAAATAAGTTTGTCTTTCAAAAACTCAGAAAGACTTAAATCAATGGAAGAATGATCCAAAAGGCAGGAAGCTTTAACTGAAAGATTGTTAGCTGAAAATATCAGCCTCAAAACAAAAATGAAAAATATGGAGATTAGGCTAACCTGTATAGAACGAGCACAGCTCTCTTATTCAATTGAGTTAAGAGGGATCCCCAGGAAGACCAGGGAAACGCTGGAGGGGATAGTAGTAGGATAGGATATCCGAGGACCTATAGGATAGGGGATCCCCATTTAGAGTACCTATTTGTAGAAATTTTCTCAGATTCCTTTTCCCTTCTCTACATCATTACATATCACTCTCCCCATGTCCGATTTGATCCTGCCTTCGAAACCTCTCTTTTTACCTACCTTCCTTCATACAACAATGTAATAATAGCAGGCGACTTTAATACCAACTTATCCTCCGACTCTCCCGACAAATCATACCTTGTAGATCATATCCATTCCCTTGATCTACTCCTCTCAAAACTTATTGTCCTCCTCCCAGTAGCACAAACTTCATAATGGTGTTTTTTTGGCAGTCGTTGAATGTGTATAGAACCCAACTTTCAAGCTTTTTTACTTTTTCAATCGCAGTGAGGTGGTCATTGATGGTTGATTTGCTAAGGTTAAGTTTCTCGGCAAGTTCTCGAATAGTTGTTGCAGAACATTGTCATCAAGAGAACTAGTCCTTCAACGACCTTCTCCCAGTGTAGAACCGTGTGTAGCCGTCTATAGTGGTTTCCCCACCATCTGGACACCTTACCTCTTGAATGGCTGTTAACGGTATGTTGTACCTTTTTACTTCATTAAGTACCGTTTGGGCGGCTCCTGGTCTGTATAAGCTCCGAACATTCTATGATCCGATATAGAGTCCGTTACATACAAAGCCGGAGTCGTTACCATGTTAAGACACTGACACACACACACACACACACCATTTTGCAGGACTTGGTTATTTGGACTCAGGAGAACTCAAAACATATATTTCCGTTGAAAACTCAGATTCAAAATTTTTCACGATCGTAATACCCTTACTATATATTGCATATATAGGTAAATGAAAGTAAAAAAAAAAATAGTGTAGGTATTTTATAATGTATGTTTTTCCCCCTAAATAGAAACCAAAACTCTAAACCAAAATCCTTTGATGGTATGAAGAATAAAATAAAATACAAGCTCTCCTCATTTCTCAATTTTACATAAACTAATAACCATTCAAATAGTAAAAAAAAAATTAAATACAAAAATCAATACATTTTAAAATGAGGTGTAATTTAAAAAAATATATAAAATTTTTCATATAGAACTTACTACACTGACAGGCAAAAAATTCCACCCACTTGATTTTTTCATATTTTCATCTAAAAATATTTCTGCTTTGGATTGGTCTATTGTTTTTAATGAATAAATAGGAAATCTTTTTGTTTGTTTTCAATTAGGAATGTTAATATAGAGGACAATAACCCTTAATCCTTAATTCAATGAAATGATTCTAGATTCCAATGTTTACTTTCTATGGAATCAAAATGTTTATTCAGTATCATTAGTTCAGTACCATTTCTTGCAGCACATTTCTTAGTCGCCGGCTTTTAATTTTTTCAATATTAAGTTAAAAAATGCCTCTTAGTGCTGAGGATGCTGCGCGTGGTGTGGCACTTATTGATGATGGACGTTCCATTAGATATGCAGCTAATGCCATCAGAGTTCCATATGAAAAATTACGAGAAGCCGTCGGGCGTTTTCGGGAAACTGGTTCTTACAATAGAAGGCAAGGTTCTGGACTGCCTAGGGTAACAGAACCACAGGATGACCGGTTTTTGACTTTGAGAATTTTATGAAACCGGCACCTTACCGTTGTTCAAGTGATTCATCAGCTCGAAGAAGTTCAAGGTGTGCAAATTTCTGAACGTACCACTCGGAGAAGATTAAATGAGTATGGATTAATGGATTTTCTTCCAGTAAGAGGACCAGAGTTGACCAGAACTCACAGAGTAACACGGCTGGCTTTTGCTCGAGAACACAGCCATTGGACTATGGACGAATGGAGTGCTGTACTTTTTACAGATGAGTCAAGATTCGCTCTTCGATCTCCAGATGGGCGTGACAGGGTGTGGAGAAGAAACGAAAGATATGCAGCCAGTAATTTTTCCCAGAGACAACCTTTCCAATATGGTTCCTTAATGGTGTGGGCTGGGATTTCAATGGAGCATCGCACAGAATTGGTTGTTGTTCGTGAAGGGTCTTTGATGGCCATTCGCTATGTAGATGAGATTTTGGAACCTCATGTGTTGCCTATCTTCAACGAAATCGGCGATCGTTCTATTCTAATGAACGATAATGCACGCCCACATGTCGCCCGCATAGTGCAGACGTTCCTTCAACAGAATAATATTGAGGTTTTAGCCTGGCCAGCACGTTCTCCAGATTTGAACCCCATTGAGCATTTATGGGATAACCTCGGAAGACGAATAAGAGTGGTGTGCAACACTTCCTGATACACTGCACTTGAAAGGGCTCTTCGGGAGGAATGGGCTATCCTCCAGCAAAGGGACATTTCCCGACTGGTGGAAAGTATGCCAAGGCGTCTTCAAGAAGTAGTGAAGGCAAGAGGAGGAAACACGCGCTACTAAACAATGATGTAATTAATTTCTTTTAGAATAATAATGGTTCGTTTTTCAATTTTTTTTCTCTAATCTTTCTTACCCAATCACATTTTGATTATTAAAGGTAAAAAAGATTATAAAATTCCATAAATACTAAGTATTATTTACAAATACCATGTATTATATACAAATACAACTTTACAGAAATATTTTTAGATGAAAACATGGAAAAATCAAGTGGGTGGAATTTTTTGCCTGTCAGTGTATATAGAACTTTTACTAAGAAAAGATTTCAACTGACACTAATAGTACAATTACTACAGATAAATTAATAAAAACAGATAATGTCTTAGAATAAATAAATTATTATATAACTGGAATATTACTTGACTCAAAATTATGGTTTAGATGATTCAATAACAGCTACATTGCAATAAAATAAAGCCACTGAAAAGTTCTCTTATGTGTTTATTATGTCAACATATTTTTCATAACACCAATGTTCCAGAAATTTATGAAAAGCCCTGAAAAAAAGGGAAAAAATTACATTGATATTTATGGGACAGTCAAGTCTTATTACAAATAATAGCAATTGAATAATGTAAAATCATTTTTAATGAAAGTCAAAAGGTATACAAAAACATAAGAAGGAACTACAACAAATAAATTATTATAGCAATAAATAATTAATTATACTACTATTAATAAATGTTGAAAAATTGAATTCAAATAAAAATTCTAGGCTTAATCCTCATTAGCCTGCATCATTACTCTTAACACTGAAAAAAATTAATTAGATAATCAATAATAATTCAATACCTGGATTTCATTTGTTCTCTAACAAACAACCACTATAACACTCAATAACCTTCTGACAAGTGTTGCCTCTATCACATAACACATATAATATATAATTGACTAATATACAAGAATTAGATAACAAATTAACTATATTAATTTAACACTCCTTTATGTAAGTTTTTTTAGATTCAAATAAAACTTCTTACAATATTTAAATTAATTTACTTAATTTCTAATAAACCAATTTTATTCAACAGATATTGTAAAACATAGTGATCAACAAATTCCTGTACATTTCCCATTTTTTTTTCTTCAGATTTTCACCATTTTTTTCTTAGTTTTTTACCCATAAATTTTACCCAAGAAAGCGGAAATCTGTTTCACATGAGGCGTTTGGTTTCAAAACAGATTACATCATTTTATTCATTTTTTTTTTTTTTTTCACAAGTGTTAAATGTTTATTTTTATAAACTTAAATATATTTGTTTCAAAACCATTTAGATCTTTCCAAAATCAATACCAAAAGATTCGATTTTCTATCAAAAGTGGTTCTATACAACCTTTTTTGACCAGCTCTAAAACATATTTAAAAATGGATGTAATCAGTTTTGAAACCAAACACCTCAAATAAATAATAATGAGTACAGCTCCCTATAGTGTCACGTAAGCTCTTATCAAAACCTATACTCATGTTACACTTTTTATTTTATTTTATGAAAAGTATATTCAAGTAATGGTCTGCACATATATATGGGAGTTCTGAAAACATATAATATATTTATTTTTTTTTTTTGTTTAATGGAATTTACAACTGTATACAAATACAACAAGTAAATATGCACAAATATAAATATTGGCATGTACAGGCTTGAAGAGTTACTACCCAGTGGTAGCACTCTCTACATATAATATATAAATTTATTATTATTTTTTTTTTAAAGATAGTTCCTAGACAATGGAGGAAATTTGGTAAGTTGGTCTCCAGAACAACTACCCTAATTTGCGCATCATTGTCAAAGAAAGTTGAGTATAGTGGCCACTTCGGTTCCATGCCAATGAATCTTTTCAAAAGTGGCGTGTTGATTAACGAACGTCTGACTCGACTATCAGCTGGCAAAGTAAAAACTGCTTTTTTTAAATTCCAATCTTTTAATTGATTTATATAAAATTCTTACCGTTTTGTATTTGTTTGCTTTTATCTTTATTTTTTTAAATAAAACTATGTTTTGGTTGGTAAAACTCATATATTTGTCTTAATTTTTCTTAAATATTTCCTTGTCCCAAGTTACAGAAAAATATTAATGAATAAATATTTGTTTCTGTTTTCTAATTTGCTTTATTTATTATATGTACAATTTAATTAATTTAAGACTTACTAATTTAAACTAAAAAATAACAACACATGTAGACACTTTAATACGTATCATAATCATTCCAAACGGATGGTAGAATGAAATCTCAAATTGGAACAAAAACGCAATGTAATCGAACGTTAAAGCGTTCACATTCAGATGGAATGAGATTCCAAAGCTCCTCGGAACGAGAAAGGCCGTTCTGAGTGGAGTGAGAAAGACCATTCCGGGTGGAACGAGAAATACCATTCGGGTGGAACGAGAAAGACTGTTCTGGGTGGAACCATTTCGAACCGTCTAAGGTGGAATTCAAGACAACTTCGAACAAGAAAGATCGTTCCGGATGGAACCATTCCGAACTGTTCCAGAGGTGGAATGGTTTCATCCAACCGGTTCAAGAAATTTGTATTACGACTAAGCAGACTGTTAGTTTTGTTCCTTCTTCATTCTGCCATTGTAATATGACTTAAAAATAAAAAAAGCCAAAATTTAATAAAAATCAATATTTTGTTAATTTTGCTGTTAATAAAATATCAATATTTTGTTTTCACTTTTAAAATGTTCAAACAATATTGATATCTCTCATGACTTTCACAGATAGCTAAAAAAGGTAAAATAAAATAAAATGCGAAATTTTAGGGCCTAGTTCTATTCCGAACCGTTCCTGTATGCTAGTGGAAGAGTAGATAAGTGTTAAGACAACTCAGCCAACAATGCTAAAAGGCTGGAAGATTTCTTAAAACAAACCTGGTGAATCGGTTCACCGATTCAGATGGAATCTGCGATTCCCGATTCCTTAGGAATCGGTCAATTCACTGGTTTTGTTCTAGAAGACTTCCAGTCGTGTTCGACAGTTTGTTAGGTTCTTATGCTTACTTTCCGAATCTACTCTTCTATGAGCATTTTGTATTCCGGCATTTATAACCTATGCTTATTTACATTACTATTTTGTTTATTTAGATATAGTGGCATTGCAATAGGTTTGTTGGCTAGGAGAGGAATCCATAAGGGAACGTAAGTATACTTTTTTGTACAGAGAAAGCGGAAACCATTATTTAGGTATCGGCTTTCTTATTAGGAATGGATTTCTATCCTCTTTGAGGGACATACAATTCTTTAGCGATAGGATTTCGGTGGCTATGGCCTGGAATATGTTCCAGGGGAGTTGGTTTAAAACGCATTGTTAAGTAATAAAGTGATGAACCAAAATGCGAATGTTATGATAAAATGGAATGGGTTTATGATAAACTAACGCAAAGCAGCATGAAAATAATTTTAGGAGATGCTAACGCAAAGGCGGGAAGGGAAGAAGTTTATTTTCTGACGATCGGTAAAAAACGTTTACACGACTATAGTAATGAAAATGGAATTCGGCTAATAAATTTTGCCATCTCGAAAAACCTAATAATTTAAAGGTACTATGTTTAAACATAAGGGTACTCACAAATATACTTGGACATCACCAGATTCGCAAACACAAAATCAAATTAATCACATCTTGATATAACACAGGTGGCAAATTAGCATAGTTAATTTAAGATCTGAAAGCAGGGCAAAATGTGGGTCAGATCATGAATTAGTAATCGTGAATCTTCGACAAAAACTTAATATCAAAATAATATAGAAAACCGTTTCTATTTCGAGAATTTTAATTAGGAAAATTAAAAAATCTATCAATTAGAACTCTATTCGGGCTTGAAGTTAAGAATAGGTTTGAAGCTTCAAACCTTCTGACTAGGACCGTAATGATATAAACAAGTTATGGGTAGGGATCAGGGAGAATATTAAAGCGGTCAGTAACTCGTGTCTTGGGAAAAAGGAAAATAAAAAGAACAAACTGTGATTCGATGAATTGTTTAAACATGTGTGATAAAAGAAAATCTACTAAATCCATAGCTAATCCTAGCAAAGACAATCTTCCGAACCTCAAAGAATGAAACGACTAAATTAAAAATAAAAAAAAGGATTATAAATAAAATAATAGAAATATAATCTAATAAAATCAAAAATAACATAAGAGACATGTAAAAAGGTATAAACAGATCACGTAAATGTTTAGGACCCATCTCATCTGGAATTTTTAAAAACATTTTTTATTTATTTAGAAATATAATAATCTGTCACGTGGACAATAATTATAGTGATATATGAACACATTCACACCATATATACAGAAAATATAAAATTAACAAAAGTAAAATAATAATCAAAAACTATATATAATAAAAAAATAAAATAACCTAAAGATAAGTAAATTAAAAAAACATAAAAACAAAGTCATACCTAGGAGTCTGGAATTAGGAATGAAAATTACAATATTCTGACCGATCCGGTAGACATATTAAATAAGTTTAAGAACCACTTTGACAATATTTTAAATACGAGAAACCATAATCTGTGTCATCCTTCCGAGTAAAGAGGAAGTTGAAGTAGCTATCGAAAAATTAAAATCTTATAAAATAGCGGGAACCGATAATATTCCTAGTGAACTAATTACGGCATGTGAGGAAGCTGGAGTTTCTAAAATACATTTGTTGGTTAAAAAGATCTGGGAGAATGAGAAATTACTTGAAGAATGGAAAGAATCTATTCTTATTCCAATTCACAAAAAGGGACCGAGGACAGATTGCAATTACTATCAAGGAATTTCACTCCTTCCGGTATGTTGTAAAATAATCACTTTAATCTTAACTAGTTGAATCACGTAATACGCCGAGGAAATTATTGGGCACAACCAATGTGGATTTAGGCGGATCTGTTCGACTATCGAAAAAATATTTTCTTTATGACAAATATTAGAGTACAACGGTGTAGTTATCATTTATCCGAGAAATTTGAGTTTCGTTCGGGTTTAAAATAATTTGATTCTCATCCGTCTGTCGTATTTAATTTGACATTAGAATATGCCATTAGAGAGGTGATACATACCAAAAAAGGTTTGAACATAGGTGGAACAATATCTGTGCTTGGTACTGTATGCTGATGATTTGGTACTGTTAAGGGTACTTTTAGTCTAAGGGGCCGTTTTGAAACCTCACTTCTTATCTATCTTATCTAACGTCATGTCATCATGTTACATAACCTCCCTCTTCTTATCCCGCCAAACTTTTGAGTTATTGCATTGTTTGGTTTTCAGTTATTCCCTTATTACGTTCACTTATTAAATTGTTTACTTTTGGCCCGTTTGTGTTTATTTTTAGTTTTTGGCCCGTTTGTGTTTATTTTTAGTTTTTGGTCCGTTTGTGTTTATTTTACATTTTTTTTTAGTTTGTGACCCCTTGGTGTTTATTTTTCATTTTTTTTTTCGTTTATTTTCGTCATATTATGGATCATCTTAGAATATGGGATTTACCGTCTTCAGAAGAACAGGCAATTCAGTATATGATCTTAGAATATGAAATGAAATTCGTTATCTAATCTTAGAATATGAAATTCGTTTATTTTCGTCATATTATGGATCATCTTAGAATATGGGATTTACCGTCTTCAGAAGAACAGGCAATTCAGTATATGAATCTTAGAATATGAAATAAAGTACATAGAGGAACTGCCAGACAACACCTCGATTCATATTTGTGCGAATTTTTGTGGCGGCGGGTTCACAGAGAAGAGGACCCGTTCCTCGCTATTTTAAGTAGCATAAAACAATTTTGCCTTCCAAAATAAATAAGACAAAAGGAAGTGAATAATTAACTTAAAATAATTTGTATATACGTTGTTTATAGTGTTTATATTTTTTCTTTTCTATGTAAATATGTTCTTTTAAATTTGTTATGATGCCGATGTTATGATGTTTGATGTTTTATATGTACATATCTTCTTAAAGTGTTTTTTTATTATTTAATTAATATATTTGCCGTCAAATAAAAGTATTTTTGTTGTTATTACATTTGTTTTTGTATCTGTTTACACTTTCAATAATACAAATTTAATACAATAATACGAAGATGTGAAGTAGGAGAAGGCTTATCACTGCGTTATGGGAGCTATCAGTGTTCAGGTTATAAACATTGCCAGATAGCAGTCAGTAGCGGCCCCTTAGACTAAAAGTACCCTGTTAAGCAAAGGCATGGACACAATAAAACTAAATACAACAACGTTTATAAAAGCCAGTAAAGAACTAGGACTCAAAATAAATGTTTTGACTAAATATAGATAAGATTCATAGTTTCCCTGATATAAGCGGAAAACTGAAAAATTGACCTTTTAGGGTTCCCTCTCCCCTAACAACTCACTCCTTGGTAAACAATTTTATTTTCAAAGCCTATGATGTTTAGACCGATTTCTGTAAATGTTTGTTATTTAGTCATATAGTAATTCCACTAGACAATTTTTTGGGTAGTTCTCTAAATCGGCTCATTTATGTTTTGGAATGCTGATTACAAAATTAAAATTCAATTCTTAAATTTTTTCTGGGATTGGGCTCACTTAGGCTTTATAACTCACCTCACTCCAAGTTCTAAATTGTTTACTCGCTGTAACAACACCATCGGTACCTGGTTCAAGGATTCAATTTCGTGGTATAAACCAGTCAATTTTTTAGAGCATGTACTCATAATTCCAGACATAGCAAATTTATATTGACATTTTTTCATCCTCTGAATAATGCTATCTTATTTTTTTAACTTCATTAATTTGTTATCTATATCAGTGTTTACTCTTTGTTGTTAATATCAAAAGCCGTTGTATAAACTCTAAGAAGTTGAATGTATCTGTGAAAGTTGTTCGAATATTGAAATTCTTTGTTTTTTGTTTTTTTTTTAAATTTAATTTAACATTTTATATTTCACTATTACTTTCTGTTTTCTATTTAACATTTCTTTTATTTCAGAAAATGGCAAAAAAAATAAATATACTATCGACCAATATATATATATATTTTTTTATTTGGGTTTTTCTACAACTTAAGGAGTCATAATCCCAACACCCAAAAACCACTGCTTCCTGTCCATCCAATCTCCTTCATGGAGCCCTCTGGCTGCTATTCTTCCCTCCACGTCCTCTATCCATTTCTTCTTTGGCCTTCTACGCTTCTTTCTTTCAGGTGGCTTTATAATTTAAATATTTTCTTTGGCCAGCGGTTCTCATCTACCCGCATTAAGTGGCCATACCACTTTAACCTTTTAGTCCCAATCAGGTGAAGGATGTTCTTTTGACATCCGACTTTGTCTCTAATTGCTGAGTTTGGGATCGACCAATATAATATTATAATTTTTTATCAACGAGGACTTAACAAGGAAATACAAAAGAAGTTGAAGGTTCTATTTCTGGAACTTATTATGTCATCAAGAGAAAAACCAAGCAAACTGAAAACTTGAAGGTCTAAAAACATATTTCTGCTGCTGAATAACATTTAAAATTAATGTGTTTGCAGAGAAAAAATTAAAAATCTAACTGAGACGGAAAGGCTCAGAAAATAGCTGATGTTACAAGTTTTGTGCTCCTTGATCAGAAGGAAACTCTTGTCATTTGGCCTAAAAGATTGTGTTGAAAGAAGAAAACCATTTTTCTGATTTCTAAACAAGTGAAAGCAACTTAATTTTACCAAAGAACATGAAAACTGGATGAAAGAAGTATGGAGCAAATTTTTATGGAGAGATAAGTAAAAATTTGAAATATTTAGTTTCTGAAGGAGGCAGTATTTTTGAAATTCTGAAGTGGTATTTTCAGATGAACGTTTGCAACCAATAGAAAAACATGGAAGTGACTTCTTTATGGTTTAGGGGTGAGTTTCTAGAATTGGAGTTGGAGACCTGTTGTGAATAGATAGAAAACTGGATGCACAACGGTATCATAGCATTCTTACATATCATGTAATAACATCTAGGATTAAGCTGATTGGGCTGAACTTTATTTGTCAGCAAGAAAACTATAAAAAATGTGGACATTTTGGAAATAAAAGTAGCATTAAATAGAAAATAAAAATAAATAATGAAATATGTAATATTAAATTAAATTTCGGAAAAGAAAACTCCGAGAGAATTCCAATATTAGAACAATTTTTACAGGTATATTCCGCAATTGATGTTAAGAATAAAGATTAATGTGGATAAAATAAATAGTGAAATTTAAACAATAAGATAGCAATATTTAGGCCCTGAAAATAATGTCCCTGGCTTGTTGTTAATTGAAAACATTGCTAATTTAAATATATATTATATCTAAAATCTCTGCATTTATATAATGACTCTTGATGTTAACAATAGAGTAGTAAAGACTGAAGTGGAAGAAAAAATGTCAACACAACGGATTGGTCCTTTGCCTTGCTGTTTATTGCAAATAATGATAATTTAAATATATATCACATCTACAATGTCTGGAAGATTAAATAAATTTACAATTGAAAAGATAAAAACATTTTTAAACTGAAACATTCGTCATTTTTATAAAAAGTTGGTTTGTTGGAAGACTTTTTCAAACCACTATATATAACTGGAAAGACTAGCAGACTATACCATTCATTGTCACAGCATCTTACAGATCGAAAAGAATGTGACAAAACAATCGAGCTAGATAAAACAACATGATTAACTATTGAACATAAACACCAAATGGGATATGGAGTTGAATAACATCATTAGAATATTATTCAACATTTTTTTTCATTCTCATAACAATATAACTGAAAAAAATTAAACAAAAGTAGAACAAAGTAGAATTCACATAATGTAATGATTAAATTCTTAGCCATAACTGTGAATGAAAATAACTAATGATATAAATATTTAAATAAAATGTGGTTAAATAATATCCAATCAAAGAAAATGCCCATAAAATCTTTAAGTCAATTATTGAATTGTAAATTGTAGTAGGAATATCTAAAAAAAATATTTGAAAATCGACAAGAAAAGTTCTCAATGAACGTATTGCAATTTAGTATATTTATATCAACAATTATTTTCAAATTCTAAACAATCAACTTTCACAAACATAACGATATTCAGAAAACCTCGTTTTCAAAATTGAAATTGGTAAAGAATAATCAAAAACAAAATTATATCATATTCATGAGTTTTTGAACTATCAGTCACGCAAAATCTATAATAAATAAGATCAAGAAATATACCTTATCAACATTTTTCAAGCAGGGACTTCTTGAAACTAGACTTACTAAAATATTTACGAAAAGGTCCTATTAAGTAGTCAGAAAGGGGTATTGAATTGATAAAAACACGAGTGATATTACTTATTAATATAAATCTAAGCCATATCAACTAGTGTAAACATGTACTTTCAACGATTACACAGACTCATTTGAGATCCTGTAGCAAAATACTTCATAATCAAGTAATGATTCGTTCACATCGAAAAAAGTCAAATATTCACATCTAGTAGTAAGTTTATAAAACGGGATTTTCAAAATATAATAATCAGAAAAATATTTACATGTATTTATCTACTATTACAATTGTTATTATCAATTTTAATAATAAAAATGCTTTCTTATGGTTGAACACAGTACAGTTCTAAATTTTAATTTAAATGGAAAAAAAAATTTTTTTGTTTTTGAAAGTGCAAAGAACCTGTTCGAGATAATTATAACCAATACAGGTTTTCTCAATTTTGAATAGTAGTCTTAGTAATTCTATTGCAAAAAAGCATGTAGCCAGATGGCTAAAAAGAAGAATTTGGCTAGTATAGTACAGGATCCTTCATGTTGGTGAAAAAGATCCTATGTGAAGGATCCAATACTTTTACGACTTCGATCAAATGTAGTTTACCGGATACCTTGCTCTACTCCTAATTGCAATAGTTCCTATATTTTTTAAACAAAAAAATCTTAAAACCCGTATTTCCCAACATAAAACATCCATAACTTCTCGGAACCATTCCGCCTCTGAACTATCAGAACATGCCTTAACCTTCAATCATTCTTTTGATTTAAAAAAAACTTACATTCTTGCAACGGTCCCCAACCATGAAAAAAAGAATCATTTCCGAATCCATCCACATCCACATGGAACAGAATCCGGTTAATTATAAAGTGCATAAAAACTGTATCTCCTTAACATATAGTCACATTTTAAATCTAATAAGCCATACATAGCTTATTTATTATAACTTTTCTTATCTTGTTTTTTTATATTTATTCATTTTCAATTTTATTGTATTAGAGATGGGCAGCACTCGATTACTTTCATGATTTGAGTACTTTTATTAGGAAAATGTATCGAGTACTTTTTTTTACTCGGCCTGACATCGGCGAGTACTGAGAGTACTCACGTAGCGTTAATCATGCGTTAGTTAAGTACAGAAACTACTCGAAGTGTTATATGGAATTACAGAAAGTAGTCAGCCAAATACCTCTGAGTACTTTTTATTTTTCCATTCCATTTCATTCCATTATCACTACTTCATCATTATTATGAAGAGTATAGATATTTTCTTTTAATTCCTTAGATAATAGCGTCCATACTGGACCTGACCACCCCTAACCAACCATTAATCGATATCGGATAACTATGTTGTAGGGAGCACATTTTTTTAAAATACTGTCGGATTTGAGATTGCGCACCCGGGCATCGAATTTTATAACTTTTCGGATTTAATCGATATCATGGTTGACTATGACGTTTTAGGGATCAGTATTTATAAAAATACAGTCGGATTTGAGATTGCGCCCCCGGGCATCGACTTTTTGTAACTTTTCGGATCTAATCGATATCACGGTAAACCACGGGCGGATCTACGGAGGGGGAGGGGGCTTTCGGGCTGAAGCCCCCCCAAAATAGTAAAATATAGCCATGTTTTATCGAAGAAAATATTAAAAAAGTATCTCTTAAAGTATTATTGCGTGTGTAATTACATTTAAAAGGGCTTTAGGAATCACTTAAACACCATTTCATACAGGTAGTTAGTTTCTTTCTTTTTTTCCAAAGTAATTATCTTAATTTTTATGAAAAAACAGCTTTCGGGCTGAAGCCCCCCCCAAAATGAAATCCTGGATCCGTTAGTGCGGTAAACTATTATGTTTTGCGGAGCGCTTATCATGAAAATATTGACGAATTTGAGATTACGCCCCGGGCATGGACTTTTTCTAACTTTTCGGATTTAATCAATATCAGGGTCCAGTATTACGTTTTGGGTGGCTCTATTTATGAAAACACAGTCAGATTTAAGATTGCGTCCCCGGGCATCGACTTTTTGTAACTTTTCGGATTTAATCAATATCAGGGTCGACTCTTACGTTTTGGGGGGGGGGGCTTATTAAGAAAATACTGACGAATTTGTGATTGCGCCCCCGTGCATCGACTTTTTGTAACTTTTCTGATTCAATCAATATCACGGTTCACTATTACGTTTTGGGAGGCGCTATTTATGATAATACTGTCAGATTTTAGATTGCCTCCCTCTCCCCGGGCATCGACCTTTTGTAACTTTTCTGGTTTAAACGATATCAGGGTCGACTATGACGTTTTGGGGAGCAATATTTATGAAAATACTGTCAGATTTGAGATTGCGCACCCGGGCATCGACTTTTTGTAACTTTTCGGATTTAATCGATATCACGGTAAATTATTGTGCACAACACCGCGTGTTGCCCGGCAACCAGATAACCAAAGTTATAAGAGATTAAAACAGTACGAGTTCGCTTCCCGGTGCCGGAAGAGATTTTAAATTTCCCGGCCTCGCCCTCTGGCCCGGGAAAACCCCGTATAGCCGAAAGGCGAGGTAGGGAAGAACAAAAAAAAGTAAAGAACAGCCACGGGACCTGAAGTATTAAGCTAGGGGAAAAGATGTATAGATGTAGAGAGGTCGCAGGGGATAAAGAGCACGGATAGCAGCAGTAAATAGAGTCCAGGACTGGAGGAAATCAATAAATCGGTATTTGTAGACATTTTCTTTAAAGAGGGAGAGATAGTAAGCATGATAGGGAGGACAGTTCATAAGATCCCATTGAAGCAAGAGGGGGTGACGTACGTAAAGGAGATGAGATACCCGCAAGCGCTTAAACAACATAGCCGGGTGAGACCGAAGAAGAGTACAGCGTGTTAGATTAACAGAGACTAAATGAAAAAACGATAGACGAAAAATATCCGATCTCCAGATTTGAAAACTCATGAAATGCTGGAAACATTAAAAAACTGTTTTTGTTGCCCAGTGTAATTAGTAATAGGGTAGAATTATGGAAGGCATGGGAAATAGTATGAGGAAAAATAGAGAAGGAAAAGAGGTAGAGAAAATTTAAGAATACGACACAAGATGGGAGATTTAAAAATTGGAACAACCGTATACCAGAGAATGGGAACGAATGGAAGGAAAGAATTGATACGATACTAGGCCCGATTAAGAGTAGTTGCCATTAGAGAGAATAATTTAATAACTGTAGAGAGTATTAAAGAGCCCAAAAAGAGACGGTCAGTTCATATTGAACAGTTGAAACTCCCGTTTGTAGAGACAGAAAAAACTAAGTGAACCGTAGTGCCCTATTTACTGCACACAGGAAATATGTTTTTTGTTTTGTTGTTTGTAAATGGTTAATGTATATCACTGTAGGCAGAACCTAAAAAGTGGAAGTGAACTGTAAAGGGCGGAAATTAAAATACATACAATTTCTATTGTTATTAATGCTAGATGCAAAACTAGTATGTATCCTAGGAAGGAGCTCCATCTTTTTTTTGTTCTACTGTATTTTTTTTGCTGTTGTATGTATTATTGTGTAGTACTAAAGAGAATGAAAAGAATTATCATTGTTTTTTAGTCATTGTTTTGTACAAAGCGATTGTGCCCAATAGTCCTGTTGCGGCGAGTGGTGAGGGAACATCAGATAAAATCTGAAAGATAAAATTTAATCCGTACCAGCTACCGGTACGACAGTCCAATGCCATTACAGAGCTATCCAGAGACAACACCTGAACCGAGGGAGCCGTCAGGTAGTATGATGTCTATTCCAGCCTAACACGGTAAGTCTATTTGTACAATTCATATTACCTACCAATTCATTAAAATACAGTCCACTGCATAAATAAGTAGAATGTTGCCAATAAATTGTGTTAACGCCACAGCGTTAATTTATTTTATTTTTGCAGTTAAAAACGCCACAGCATTAATTCATTTTATTTTACACTTAACTAGTTTGTTGTTTTTATTTATTTGTTTTTTTACCTATCTAACGAGTGTAAAATTGATTCATTTTGTTTTTATGTTTTCAATAAATTTCGTAAATGTTTGAAGATACAGTCCACTTTCTTTCTTTCTGGCTGAGTTGGGCTGGTAATATTTAGTACGCTGGATCTTAAAGCAGGGTATCACCAGACAATAATGCACCCAAAGGACCAACATAAAACGGCATTTAGATTCGAAACGATCCGCATGCGCCAGTTTCTGTCTACCAACCTGCTACATCGTCTCCCACAAAGTGACTTAATTACCAGTTAATTAGTGAACTTTAGTGCAATAAAACAGTGACAATTCAACATTTATCAATTGACTATTCAACTCAACATAAACAAAGTGAGTAAACAACTTGTTTATTAACATTAAGACTACAGTGTAAACAACGATAGTTTTATAGGTAGAGGCCATATCATTGCCCCCCACTACCTTTAGTTGCCTCCGTGGCTTCTAAGGGAGAACACGTATACTTAGAAGGCCTCTACAAGTCTACGTAATTAGTTACGTACTAAAAACTTTTATTTATTTTTTTTTTCTCCTCTCTTTTATTTACCACCCTACCGTCATGAGATGCACCATATGATAATGTCTAGCAAAAACAAAAGATCTAGGAGTTTAGGTAATAACAGCCCTCGAAGTTCACCGGTAAAACAGAAGCCTAGACGTTCTAATAGAAAAACGCCACCTTCAACACCTGATAACCCTAGTGATAGCATGAATGACCCTCAACCTGGTACTTCAACGAAAAATATGACTGCACAAAATATAAATAACGAAACAGATGAATCTCCATTTTTTACTCCTAACCCATATCAATTACTGTCATTGGAAGAAACAATGGAAATACCACCAACCCCCAGAGAACCAAAACCACCTCCTATATTCATCAGAAATATAAAAAATTTCCCGCTATTTTGCCAGCATCTAAATAAACTACTGGACAACGGCAAATACATCTGTCAAACTCGAATCAATGACACGAAGTTGATGCCAGATTCCCCTGAAACTTATAAAAAAATTGTTAAATATTTAACTGATACAAAGGCGGAATTTCACACTTATCATTTATTCCAAGAGAGAGCACTAAGAGTAGTGATAAGAGGCCTACACCCTTCAACTCCACCTGATGTAATCAAGGAAGAATTAACGGATCTAGGATTCAGT